TACCCTGTGAATAATCTCAAAGAAAACTCTTACAAGGTAGAGAGGAAAGAAGACATCCACTGTAGACTTATTTACCAGGGTGGGGAGTTGAAGACAATTTGGGTGTCTATTCCTGAGGAAGTAGATAGATAAAATGTGGATGCACACCCTGGGGGCGCACTCTGCAGCAGCTAGGAGCAGTAGATTAGATGTACCCAGAACAGCATGGATGGGTCTGAGAAATAAAACACTAAGAAACTGAATGAGGGACGCCTGGGTGGCTCAGTCCCTTAAGCATCTGCCTTCCACTCAGGTCATGATCTCAGAGTCCTGGGATCCAGACCCGCATCGGGCTCCCTACTCAGCGGGAAGCCTGCTTCTCCCTCTGCCTGCCGCTCCCCCTGCTTGTGCGCTCCCTGTCTCTCTCTCTCTCTCTCTCTCTCTCTCTCTCTGACAAATAAATAAATAAAATCTTAAAACAAAGGAACTGAATGAGGTACATCACAAGATGTCATTTATGTAAATTAAATATACAAAACAATCCAAGAAATGGGCCAAAGACATGAACAAACATTTCACCAAAGAAAAGATACGGGTGCTGGGGTGCCTGGGTGACTCAGTCAGGTAAGCATCTGTCTTCAGCTCAGTTCCCGATCCCAGGGTCCTGGTATCGAGCCCCTGGAGCCCCAAGTTGGGTTCCCTGCTCAGCGGGGAGCCTCCTTCTCCCTCTCCCTCTGCCCTTCCTCCTGCTTGTGCGCGCACTCTCTCTCTCTCAAATAAATAAATAAAATCTTTTCAAAAAAAATAAAACCTATTAAAAAAAGAGATACAGTTGTTGTACAAATAAGCACATGAAAAGATGTTCAGAGGCGCCTGGGCGGCTCAGTCTGTTAAGCATTTGCCTTTGGCTCTGGTCATGATCCCAGGACCCCACATCGGCTCCCTGCTCAGTGGGAAATCTGCTTCTCCTCTCCCTCTCCCTCTGTGTGCGTGAGCTCCCTCTCTCTCTCTCTCAAATAAATAAATCAATCTTAAAAAAAGAGAGAGAGAGAAGATGTTCAACATCATTAGCCATCAGGGAAATGCAAATTAAAACCACAATGAGCTGTCACTGTAACACCTATTAGAGTGGCTGAAAACTAAAACAGCGATAACACCAAATGCTGGCAAGGATGTAGAGAAACTGAATCTTTTCTGTGTTCCCGATGGGAATGTAAAATGGTACAGTCACTCTGGAAAATAACGTGGTGATTTCTTATAACACTAAACATGCTCTTACCACAAGACAATGAATGGCTGCCTTGGGGCATATATCCCAAAGAAATGAAACTTACGTTCATACAAAACCTTTACATGAATGCTCGTATTAGCTTTATTTGTAATAGCCCCAAACGACCTGTATGTATCATAAGGGCATTACGGTTAGTAAGAAAAGCCGATCTTAAAAGGTTTTATTTATATAACATTCTCAAAATGACAAAACAATACAGATGGGGAAGAGATTAGTGGTTGCCAGGGCTTGGGGATCAAAAAGGGGGGGAGTGTGACTATGAAAGGGTGCCACGAAGGAGACCCTTTGTGGTATTGGAACATTTCTGTGTCTTGATTGTGGCAGTGGTTACACAAATGTATTCATGGGATCAAATAGAGCTAGGCACACACACACAAATAAGGGCATTATAAAAATTGGTGAAAACTGAATGATAAAGTCGGTCGTCTGTTTAACAATATTATATGAATGTCAGTTTCTTTGGTTTTGCTATTTAGTACAGCTATACAACATCACTATTGGGAGGAGTTGGGGGAGTGTTTTCAGGATGCTGCGTACTATTTTTTGTCGCTTTTTGGGAGTCCCTAATTATTTCAAAATACGGAAGTGTTTAAAAAGTATATGCATCCAGGGCGCCTGGGTGGCTCAGTTGGTTAAGCGGCTGCCTTCGGCTCAGGTCATGATCCTGGAGTCCTGGGATCGAGTCCCGCATCGGGCTCCCTGCTCGTCAGGGAGTCTGCTTCTCCCTCTGACTCTCTTCCCTCTTGTGCTCTCTATGTCTCATTCTCTCTCTCTCTCTCAAATAAATAAATAAATAAATCTTTAAAAAAAAAGTATATGCATCCAGTTCTACAATGCATTCTGCAAGAATGCGTTCGAACAAAGGCATGTATATTAAACATCTTAGAATAGTAGCCTGTGGGGGAAGGAGGGTGAGGAGGAGTGGAGTGGATAAAAGGAAACAAACAGCTACATTAATCAGGGGACCCTGTGCGGGGAACTGAGGTGATTAACTCAAGCCTTTCTGCACCTGAGGTCCCACAGCCGGGAAAGGGGTGGGAGCGGGGGAGGGGGAATCAATAACATTAAAGGTAAGGTCTTCTTTCAATGCATTAAAGATTTTTCCCTTTTTTCATTAGAAGGCTGGAAGAAGGTTGGAGCTGGGGAGGCAGGAAACAGGGACAGGGAGGAGGGACGGAAAAGGGAGGGGGGAGAGGAAGTTAGAAAGGATGATAGGGAGAGAAGGAAGGGGAGGTCATGGACAGCATTCTTTTCCTGAGGGCTTGAGGCTGGTCTGGGGCCGGAAGAGGTCACCGTTGCCTAAGCCCTCCGGAGCTCTGAGGCCTCATGGGGGAGGCTTAGGTTCCAGGAGCTCCTCTGAGCAGCCCTGGCTCAGAGAGACACAATGGGCTCTGTGGTGGGAACTCGGAGGTGCTGAATTTTAGCATCTCCTCCTGTCCCTCCCCCCCCCATTGTTGGGAAGGCAGTGCTAATAAAACTAATGGACCAGTTTTAAAGTCTTACACAAATGAAGTGCACTACCTTGGCTATAAATGCAGCATGTTTTACTACTAAGTGTGGACTATGAGGAGGAAGGAAGAATATGAGACACAGCAAGAAATAATTGAGGGAGTATGGAAAAGCTTATTGATAAGGATGCTCATAGGGATATTACTTACCATAAGGAACAATGAGAAACGAGAGAGATGCCCAGTAGACCTAGTTAAGAATGTATGCTACGCACACACACAAAAAAGTATGCTACGCTCCCGTGATAGAATACATTAAAAATGAAGGTATGCGAGAACTTTTTTAAAAAAGATTTTTATTTATTTATTTGACAGAGAGAGAGATGGCGAGAGCAGGAACACAAGCAGGGGGAGTGGGAGAGGGAGAAGCAGGCTTCCCGCGGAGCAGGGAGCCCGATGAGGGACTCGATCCCAGGACCCCGGGATCATGACCTGAGCCGAAGGCAGCCGCTTAACGACTGAGCCACCCAGGCGCCCTGAGAATTTTTAATGTTATGGAAAAGTGCTGTGATATACTGCTGTCCTGGGGAAAAGTGATAAAAGAACACGCACTGAATAATCCTTTTTCTAAAAGTTTTTTGTTTTTTGTTTGTTTGTTTGGGGGTTTGAGGGTAGTTTTTGTTTTTGTTTTAGTAAGCTCCATGAACAATGTGGGGCTTGAACTCACACCCCAAGATCAAGAGTTGTATGCTCCAGCAGCTGAGCCATCCAGGCAGCCCCTTTTTCTAAAAGTTTTAAATGCAAACTATGCATAGAAAAGAGACAGGATAGTCACCAAAATATTAACTCAGTACACTTAAAATTTGTGAGCTTTATTACATATAAATTATGTCTCAAAAGAAGTTTTAGAAAATACTGACACAGGCTGCTTTAGTGGCCACTCTGGAGTCATTCTATTCTGGTCTGGCAGGTGAAATTATGGGTATTTTTTTTTCTTTTTTTTTTTTTTTGGAAGGATTTTATTTATTTACTTCAGAGAGAGAGAGAGCAGGGTGGAGGGGCAGAGAAAGAGGGAGAGAATCTCAAGCCGACTCCCCAAGCCCAACTTGGGCTGGATCCCACGACCCTGAGATCATGACCTGAGCCAAATCAAGAGTCCGAGGCTAAACGGACTGAGCCACCCAGACGCCCCTAATTATGGGTATTCTTCATTGTGTTTTCTGTTTTCCAACATATTGGTAGTAAATATGTAGACAGACCACTCTATGGGGGAGCACTATCTGGGGGAGTCTGGCAGTGCCTTGGAGGGAAGGCGGCAGAGGGAACGGTGTGGAGGCACTTAATCCTGGCCCGGCCTGCCAGGTGGGGGAAGAGGCAGACACTTGCCCTCTGGTTTCTCCATCCCCTGGACCAGCCAGCTCCGGCCGGCTCAGCCACGAACACTCCCGGAACGGGTTGTTTCAGGAACCGCCCTGAGAGCGGCTGTTGCTTTCCTGGAAGATAGAGCCAGGATGCAGGGCCTGGAGAGGGACGAGCCAAGGTCCCTTGATAAATGCTGCATATTTATAACCATCTCTCTCTCCCCTCCCGCAGATCTCTTCGTTTGGTTTCACTCTCACAGCTTGGCCCATTGCGGGTTAAAGGGATGCGGTGAGCAATATTTACCGCGGGCGGAGACGTGGGTGGTTTCGTGGAGGGTGGCACTGAGCTCGGCTCTCACTTGCCTCTTACTGGAAACAATACTGCCATTATTGAGCGCTGACCATGTGCCAGTTGTGTGCCTACATAATTGCATTTCTCACCACAACCCTGTGAGGTCTCTACTGCTCTGATGCCCACTTTGCTGATAAAGAACTGGAGGCTCAGAGAGGTTAAGGAGCCCGCCCTAGGTAACACAGCCAATTAGGTGGTAGTAGATCGAGGAAGGATTCCAACCCCCGCGCGCCGGTTCCAGCTAGTGAGCCTGCCCCCTACGGGGCCCTGGACCGGCGAGGCCGGGCCTCCCAAGGTCAGGGAAGGCGCAGCCCCGCAGACCCTGCGGCCTCCTGGGGCTGGCGAGCTGTCGTGGGGCCAGGTCCCGACTGGGGGAGGTGGGCACAGCGGCGAGTGCAGAGTGGCCGTCCCCGCCCGAGGCGGGTGGCAGCGGCGGGGCCCTGCTGGGCAGCGGGCGAGCCCGAGGGCGCCTCCGGACAGTTCCCATAAACAGGGGCGGGGCGGGGCGGGGCTTGGCCCCGGCCCCGCATTTCCGGGGACGCCGCGCGGGACGGAGGGTGTTCGCGGGGACACTGCGTCCCCCGGGAGTGCGTCGGGCGGGCCAGGCAGGCGGGGCGAGCCTGGGGGCGGCCCGGGAAGAGGAGCCGCGCCGCAGAGGTGGCCCTGCCGTGGGCGGTGGTCGCGCGGGGGCCGTGACCCTCGCAGGTAGGCGCAGGGGGCAGGGCGGCCGGGAGCCGAGGCCCTGGGAGAGGGACGGACGAGGGCAAAGCCGCCGAAGCCGCCGCCGCCGCCCCCCCCCCCCCCCCCCCGCTTCCCGCCGGGCCCCTCTCCCGAGAGGGCGCCACCTGCACGCTCTGATGGGCACCGGCGCCGGCCACTGGGGGAGCTTGTTGCCATGGCAGCGCGGGAGGCTGGGCCCTTGTTCCCATGGCCACCCGGGGCCTCGGCGCAGAGTCCTTTTAGCAGTGCCTTCAACCTACTCCCGACTCCCAAATCTAGAATGGAGAGAGAGGCAGGAGTCCTGGCCCGGGAGGGAAATCATTTGGGATTTGGAAAAAGCCTGGGCCCTTCCTCGTAATGCTCGTGGTGTGGACTTTGGATTAGGCTTTTGTCCTGGCTGTTTCTGTCTGAGTGACACGTGGATGTAGGGGTTAGGAAGGAAAGACGCTGGGATCCTGGAAATGAGGCTGATCTAGTGGCCACTCTGGAGTCGTTCGGGTCTGGCCAAAAGACTCAGAATCCCTGCATCCCCCAGGGAAAGTCTTCAGCCCTGTGCTCATATTTCCGAACCTGATTGTGAGTAGGTAATTTCACTTAGGAATCATAGGATTCTTGTTAAGACTCAAATGCCGCAAGAATGGTGAAGCGCATACTTTTTTTAAAAAATTGTGGGGTTTTTTCCCACTGATGCTTTAGAACTGAAAGAAGTTTAGGAATCCACCTAGTTGCACCTTCTCACTTTCATAAGAGAAACTGGACCCAGAGAAGTTAAATTACTTCCCAAGATGACAGTGGGTTGGGAAGATCAGCATTTGAGGCCAGTATCCTGACTTAAAGGCCATGGCTGTTGCCTTTTTGGTTATTTTACTGAAGCTCAGGGAAGTCTGGGATAAGTCCCCTGGCAACCCTGGGGCTCAAGCTTTTGGTGACAGGTGACCTAAAGATGGGCCGTGGAGGCTGGAGCCTTGGGGAGAGCTGAAAGAGCCCCTCTCCCTTGTGCGTCGGTCCTGTGCCTTGGGGCTCTTGCTTTAATATGATATTTGACAGGATTGGCTTAAATAAATCCCCAGGAGCCGCGCGTTCAGCAGCTCTCCAAAATACCATTTCTTCTGAAGCCAACAGATCTGTTCAGACTGTATGAGCGCCCTTTGGCTGCCCAAAAGCAGGGAAGTGGGACTTCCCCCCATCAGTGAGGTGCTTTTTCCTTTGAAAAGGTTTAAGAGGGAGGTGGGAAGAGAGATCCAGGAAGAAACACATGAACGAATCATTTGGAAATGATTCGAGCAGAAAACTCACGTATTCATTTATTAAACATTTACTGGGTACCCACTGTTTGCAAGCTCTGCACTGGGGCAGAAGATTAAAAACCTGTGTTAGGCAGGCCTGGTCCCTACACTCAAGAAGCTTGTAAAAGAGATGGCCAGAGAGAAATGTGATGTGTAAATGAGCGTATCACTAGAGCACAATGCGTGCCTTAATGGAAATCTGAGCCCAGAGCAGCGGAGCCCAGAGGAGCAGCTCCGGAAATCAGCTGAAAACAGCATGAGTCTAGCCTGCACCACCTGGGAGCACTTCTGGGGCTCTGCCAAGGGGGCCCTGGCCAATACCTTTGTTGGGAGACAAAGGAATGAGTGAGTCAAAGTGTCTAGACAAATGTGGCTCAGGATGGGGATTCTCGGGAAAGAAGAGTTTTAGGGACCCTGATAAACTGTCAACCCTATGAAGGCAGCGACCTGTCTGTTTCTTTCAGTTTCTGCAGCGCTTACAAGGTCACACGTGGACAAGAAAGATGTGTTGAGCGGATGAAAGAAGGAAGGAAGGGAATAAAAGAGGGAAGGATGGGGGAGAAGAGGTAGGAAGGAGGGAAAGGGACAGCAGTTTATATGATGAAGGAGAGGATGGCTGTAAGTTGAGACAAAACCCTGGTTGAAATTCTAACTACAGGTTCTGGAGTCAGATCTGCGTTCTGGTGCTACTCCTGACTTACCGCTGGTGTGACCTTAGGAAGTCCCTGAACCTCTCTGTGCCCCAGTTTCTCAGCTCAGGAGTGGGGATATAATAATTCCTATCTCTCTCTGTTGTGAGAATTACATAAAAGATTGAACAGAAAAAGCTCAGCACAGTGTCTGCCTCAGTGAGTAGTAAGTATTCAGTAATAGCCTTACAAACGTCAACTTTGCTTTAGGTGAAATAATCTGCCCAGCAATTCATGTCAAGATTATAAAACTACTCCAAAAATGAGATAAATAATTTCTTTTTACCTGATAAAGGCTAATTGTGAAAGGTGCCTGTGTCTGCAGATTAGCATACCTCAAAGAAATGGTTCTTTACTTTTTTTTTAAGATTTTATTTATTTATTTGACAGAGACACAGTGACAGAGGGAACACAAGCAGGGGGAGTGGGAGAGGGAGAAGCAGGCTTCCCGCTGAGCAGGGAGCCCGATGCGGGCCTCAATGTGGGGCTCGATGTGGGGCTCGATCCCAGGACTCCAGGATCATGACCTGAGCCGAAGGCAGCCGCTTAACGACTGAGCCACCCAGGCGCCCTGGTTCTTTACCTTTTTTTTTTGTAGGGGGAAGGGCACGGTGATCTTTTTGAAAGTAGATGAAAGCTCTGCTCTCACCAGAGACCACATATCATTCTTAGGGTTCATAGCTCCCTGAAGCCCGCCCTTGCTGCTCATAGGCTGTCATGAAAGAACTAAGGCAGAATTCACAGAGGAAGAGCCTGGGAAGAGCAAGGTGGGCCTGCTCTCATTCGGGGGGTTTGTGGGGTCCCTGTGGAAACCACAGCTGGAGGAGCTGGAGCTCTGCCTATGCAGCTGGGTGGTCCAGGCTCCGGGCCCAGGTCCCCCAGAGACCCTCCTCTGCTTTGGACAAGCTGGGCCCACTTGGAGCCTCATAGTGTCCTCCGGCCTGATGCTTCCTCACAACGCATCAACGGTGCTGCCAGGAGTCCTGGGCCAGGGTGCCTGGTGTGCAAGATAATTGTCCCAGCACGGATCTTTGGTGTCCCCACACCAGCTCTGTGAGTGTTGTCTCTTAATACCACTGCTTTAGGGTGTGGCAAGTGGGGACACCTCCCTCCACCATGACCAAACAAGACAGTAGTCCTCTCTTTGGAGCTGCAGGAAGTCTGTGGAACCTGCGTCTATCCCCCACCACCCTGATGGGCTCGCCCGTCTTCGCCCACTCTGTAGGAAGCAGTGGAACCAAGAGCAAGATGATCTCTCTGGCAGCCACCGGGTGAACCGAGGTGACCAGGAAACTACAGGGGTCCAGAGAGCCCCTCATCTTTGCGAAGGGAGAGCCTTGGGCTTCCGGAAAGGAGGTTAGTTTCTTGGGGTGGAGGAAGGGCCCTGACCCGGGCCTTCTTTCCCTTCATGGGGCAATGGCCAGGAGTCTGGAGCTCAGAGTGAGATTCAAGGAGGAAGAACTTGGTGGCAAAGGGGGCAATGGATTCCTGATTTCTTGGTATCTTGGGAAGGGAGGGGCCTCAGGCCTGATAAGCCAAAATGGAAACCACGCTTTCCTAGATCCTTAGAACGTCTACCTCCCACCTAAGAGTGGATGCTGTGGTGTCAGAGAAGGAGAGCCCTGAGCAGTCACTGCGCCTCTTCCGGGTGGCAGGTGCCAAGCATCAGCCAGGCCAATTACCCAGGCCCCCTAGCCCCCCCCCCTTCCGTGAGCAGGACTGCAGGCCCAGGCAGACAGGGCCTCCCCCCGCCACAGCTGGTGTTGGGGGCAGGGGAGTGACAGTGGTAACGTCATGTTCTACCCTGTCAGGACTGGGACAGGTCGAGCCCTGCTGGTTGCACCCCAGCCCTGTGGGGCAGGGGGATCCCCTCCCAGGGAGTGGCCAACTCAGGCCCCAACAGGCCCCAGCGGGGCTGGCACTAGGGCGTGGGGTAGGCTCTTCGCCACAGCGAGCGCGGCGGGGGCCCGGGCTGGGCAGGCCGGTTCCTTCTCCTCTGGAGAGTTGCAGACTCAGCACTGGACTTGGAGGAGGCAGCTGAACCCGAGGGGAGAGGCCAGAAGGGGCTTCTCGGGGCCGGGCGTAAGATGGTTAGGAGTTACTGAGGTCGTGGCAACTTAAAGGGTAGGGGAGGCGAGCCGCCGCCTCAGGAAGCCTGGCTCGGCTCGGGGGGCGCTCACCACAGGCCTCACCACCGGGGCCCGGATGTCAGGGGCTCTCCTCAGTTCTGCTCAGCCCTGGGAGGGACTGCTGGCGTTCCCATCTCACAGATGAGGAAGCTGAGGCTCAGGGACATCGTGTGGCTGGCTCACAGCCCACAGAGTAACGGATGGTGCTGACATCCTTTGGGCAGAACTGGCGTGCTTCGCAACTGGATCCTACCACCTACCAGGGCCAGAAACCCAGGGACCAGTGGAGGGGTCAGAACAGAATGGGGGTCGGGGATGAGGCCATTTCCATGTGTTGCCACACTCTGGTTAAAAGCTGCCCATGAGGCCTGAAGGCAGTGTTGGTGCCGTGAATGCCCTCTGCTGTGGAGGGTGCTGCCCCCGGGAGGCTCCCAGCCCCCAGGAGGCTCCCAGCCCCCAGGATCTGGAAGTCACTGGCCGATTTAAAAGCACACATGGTGTGCCAGCTGGTGTCGCTTCCTCATCAAAATGTATTGATGCTGCTGCCCAGCCCCTGGGGAGGAGACACCAGCGGCGTGCCCAGCCAGGGGGTGGGGTTGGGGGGGCAGCTGCAGCTGCAGCCTGCCATCAGAGGACGGCCCGGGGCTACGGGGGGATGGTGGCAGGGGGCCAAGGCCCGGGGAGCTGGGCCGCAGCCCGTGCGTGTCTGTGAGGCCTGGCCAGGCAGCCTGCCAGCAGAGCCTGGGACGGGGAGGAGCTCGGTGCCACTCCAGAGCGGGGGTGGATGGGACCTCTGGGTTCAGGCTTCACCGGGCTTTGGCAGGAGGCCCCTCCCCCGTGGCCAACAAACAAAGCAGTGACTCCCAGAGTAGAACTGTGGGAGCTGGAAAGCAAGGTTGCCCTGGGTGGGAATGAGAGCAGGCGGGCCTGGCCAGGGGCCGCCTGGCAGGAACCATCCGTGCCCAAGGACGTGGCTGGCCTGCACCTGGGCAGGGCCTGTACCTATAGACCATGAGCGATGATTGATTGCTTGGGAAGCTGGCAGTGTCCTGACCATGGCACTGCCAGCACTCTGCCTGGCCTAGGCCCGCTGCCGTCTTCCTTTGTGCTAAGCAGGTTAGAGAGGCAATGGGCACATGAGTTTGTGTGCTTTACGTTTTTATCCTTTTTCTCTTTATTTTCTTCTCTTGTAGGCTCTGATTTCTCTTCATTCTCTCCCTCTTCTGTAGCTCTTCTCATCTTTTTAAAAAATTTTTTATTTATTTGGGGCACCTGGGTGGCTCAGATGGGCTCAGATGGTTAAGCGTCTGCCTTCGGCTCAGGTCATGATCTCTGGGTCCTGGGATCGAGCCCCGCATCGGGCTCCTGGCTCAGCGGGGAATCTGCTTCTCCCTCTCCCTTTGCCCCTCCCCCTGCTCATGCTCGCCCGCTCTCTCAAGTGAGTAAAATCTTAAAAAAAAAAAAGATTTTATTTAGAAAGAGTGTGAGTGTGGGAGGGACAGAGGGAGAGAGCAGAATCCCAAGCCGACTCCGTGCTGAGCCCAGAGCCTGACACAGGGTTCGATCCCACGACCTTGAGATCATGACCTGAGCCAAAATCAAGAGTCAGATGCTTAACTGACTGAGCCACCCAGGTGCCCCTGTAGTTCTTCTCATTTTGTTCTTCTCCCACCTGATCCTACAGGTGAGTTGTTGTTGTTTTTTAACCTTTTGGCTTCTTTGTTTTTGTTTTTTGTTTTTCCCACGATAACAGGTATAAGATATGAATTTACATACAGGAAAATGCACAGATCTTAAGTGTACAGCTCAAAACATGTTAACATTTGTATACACTTGTGAAACCAACACCCAGATCAAGATAGAGAATATTCTGGCCTAAAGTTTCCTTCTCTGCCTACTAGGCATGTGCCCCCTAGGCCGAACATCTCTCACCATCGAGAAGTTTCATTTGGCCCCTTTGTATATATTCTCATACACATTTTCTCTCTCATTGTTGTGTTTTTGCCTTCCTTCTCCGTGTGTGTGTGTCTGTGCCAGAGAGAGGGAGAGAAAAGGAGAGACTGGGAGGGAGAGCCAGAGAGAAGAGACCCAGGGGAGGATGGGAGGATGGAAAGGGTAAGGGCCGTGTGAGGGTGAATGGGGAAAGAGAGGGCCGGGCTTCACGACTTCATCTTGCTGGCTGGGGGCACAGAAGCGTTGCTTTTCTCTTCGTCTCTTATGCTGCCTTTCCAAGCCGCCCCTGAGCTCTTTTATAAACCCCGATTTTCTGGCCAAGAAAGACTTGCCTACATCCAAGAGTGGCAGAGGGGAGCAGGGGACACAGCATTGGCTTGGGAACCACTCTTAATCCCACAGGAAGTCAGCTCAAATGAGGTCTCTCTCAGTCAGTCATCCTCCTGTTTTTTCCAGTCTGGGGGAGAACAAATTAGCATGCTAACGGAAGACAGAGGAGCCCGCAAGGGCCGATGTTGCCATATTGGGGGCATGGATTGGAGGGTACTCCTCCAGGTCCCTCATTTTGTCAGCCCTGCTAGAGTGCCACGCTAGGCAGTAGGGGTTCCAAAGATATGGAATTGTCACTGTCCTCAAGAGACTCGCCACCCATTTGGCATACGACATACCTGAAGCATTTGAGCAACCACAAACAGGGTGTAATTACCCACCAAGCGAGGCCGCATCAGCCTCTGCCTCTTCTCTTCAGGGATGAGCAGAGCAGCCAGACAACCCATGTGTTGCCAAGACACTAGGGCACACCAGCCTCACTGCCATTTGGAGAGCTAGCTGATGCAGAGATCCGGGCACCCACCAGCTACTAACTGAGCACGTGCCACTCACCAGCCCCTGTTCCGGTTAAGAACGGTAAGGAGACGCTGAAAGGAAATGCTGTAGCTAGTACCTGGATTTCAACAAGGTTTCTCACAATTGTTTCATAATATTCTTGTGGATAATATGGAGAAATGTGGGCTGAGGAGTGCAGGTCAGAGGAGACACATAGCTGGTTGTTCAACCTACAAAGGATATTGATCAGTTTCCACCCTGATAGAGGTCTCTGGTGGCCCTGGCTCTGCTTTTGGCCCCATTCTATCTGATTTTTCCCCCCAAAACTTACAAACCCCTGAAACACCTGGAACTTTTCTATATCAACTAATTGTTAAAACTTTGTGATAGTCGCACTCACTCTAACACACACACACACACACACACACACACACACACGTTTTTGCTGAATCATTGGAAAGTAGGTTGTAGACATGACACTTCACCTCTACAAACTTCAGCAGGCATCTCTGAAGGATGGTAACATTCCCCTAAAACCACAGTGCCATTGTCATACCAAAGAAAATGAGCAATAGTACCATAATACCTAAGACACAGTGCACCGTAACATTTCCCCCAATTCGGAATGGCTTTCTTTTTTTTTCTTTCAAGATTCCATCAGTGTTCACATATTTCTTCTGATTATCATGTCTCTTTTCGTTTCTTGACCTAAAATAGTCCCCTTGTCTTTTTTATCTTGAGCTTTTTGAAGAGTCCCAGCTAGCTGTCTTTGTAGAATGCGGGCTGTATCTGATTGTGTGCTTATCATTAGATCTGGGTTTGCCAGAAGTGCTCCAAGGACCGGTGATGTTGTGTATTTCTTATTGCATCATACCAGGAGGTAAATGCATCAGGCACTCGCATTACTGGTGATGCTGCTTTATTTATTTTTTTAAAGATTTTATTTATTTATTTGAGAGAGAGAGAGGGGAGAGCATGAACAGAGGGAGGGTCAGAGGGAGAGGGAGAAGGAGACTCCCTGCAGAGCAGGGAGCCCCAGGAAGGGCTCCATCCCAAGACCCTGGGATCATGACCTGAGCCGAAGGCAGGCACTTAACTCACTGAGCCACCCAGGCACCCCCGGTCATGCTACTTTAGGCCACTTGGTTAAGGTAGTGGCTGCCAGAGTTCTTCCCCAGAGATACATTTTCCTTTTGGTAATTAGTAAGTCACTTGTAGGACAGACTTTGAGACCTTGTTCATATACAGTTTCCCAAAAATCTTCTACCCAGTGGCTTAGCATCCACTGATTACCCTTGCTTGAACCGAGGCTTTCTGAAGTCTACTCTTTCTTCTACAGTCATCAGCCAACATTCTTCTATAAAGAAAAGCTTCCTTTCTACCTCTTTTCTTTCTCTCTGTGTGTTTTCCTGAGTTTCACTGCAGACTAATGGATTGTTTTATTTTGATGCATTAGGACCCATTACTTCAGTATGCTTTTTGATTCTCAAATTATCTCAAGTTTAGTCATCAAGCTGGGCCTATGTCCTTTTGACATGACCCCATTAATCTTTCATCACTTCCTTGCTTTTTGGCCCAAACAAAATGTCCCAGGCTTGCCTTCCCCAAGGAGACCTGGTACCTTTTATTGGAGAGTGGGTAATAGGTCTGCTCACCTAGTATGTTGTTTTTTTTTTAAGATTTTATTTTTAAGTAGTCTCTACACCCAACATGGGGATTGAACTTACAACCCCAAGATCAAGAGCCTCACGCTCTACCGACTGAGCCAGCCAGGCACCCCTGACACCCAATATTTTTTATCAATGACTCAAATAAAGGCTAAGAAATGATTACCAAATTTACTGATGATTCAAAACTGGGAAGGGAAGTCAAATTCTATGATAATAGAATGAATACTCAAAATGACCTCAATAGGATGAAATTTGGACCAGAACTAGTAGATTTAAAGGAGATCAATATGAAGTCCTGTGCTTAGGTTGAAAATGTTAATTGCATAATTTGAGGTTTGGGGGAACTCTTTACTAGATGAAAGTTGGTATAGAAAAGTAGCTCTGGTTGTTAGCTGACATGAGCCAGCAGTTTCCATGACTCTTGGGTTACATCCATCCATCCATTCATTCATTCATTCATTCATTCATTCATTCGTGTAGCCAATACTTATTGAGGGTCTGCCATATGCCAGGCACTGTTCCAGAAGCTTGGGCCATGTTAGTTAACTCCTGAATAAGCAAAAAAATCCCTGCCCTCCTTGGGCGCCTGGGTGGCTCAGTCGGTTAAGCGTCTGCTTTCAGCTCAGGTCATGATCCCAGGGTCCTGGCATCGAGCTCCGCATAGGGCTTCTTGCTTGGTGGGGAGTCTGCTTCTCCTTCTCCCTCTGCTGCTCCCCCTGCTCTCTCTCTCTGTCAAATAAATAAATAAAATCTTTGAAAAAAAAATCCCTGCCCTCCTCAGTCAACATTCTTGGTGCTGGGGAGTGGGGTCAGGTGGGGATTTCAGGCAATAATGAAAAACCACAGCAAAGGTGATGAGTGCTTTGAAAAATTTTCTCCAGGTAAGGGGATATGGGTGGAAGTTCAGATTCTTCAAGGTGATCTTTGAGCAAGGGTCTGAAGGAAGCAAGGGACTCAATCATGTGGCTATCTGGGGGAAGAGTGCCCCAGGCAGAGGGAGTAGCCAGGACAAAGGTTCTAAGAGGAGTGTGGTTGGGGGTGTGCCTGAAGTAGAGTGAGTAGGGGGAGAGCAGTGGAGGATGTGGTGGGGGTGAGGATGGCACAGGGCCTTATACACCACTGTAAGTCTTTGGCTTTTATTCTGAGTGAGACAGGGAACCCTTGGAGGGTTTCAAGCAAAGGAGTGCCATGACCTTACTGGTTTTGAAAGATTCTCGTTGCTGAGTTGAGAATAGGTTGCAGGGAAGCAGAGGTAGCAGTTAGGAGGAACTTGCAGTAACCAGGAGAAAGAGGGTGCTGATAGTGATCCTCCCCCCCACACACACTGGGAGGTGGTGAATGGTCAGATTATGGATTTCCTAGTGGGTCAGATGTGAGGAAATGAAATAAAGTAGTTAGGCAGCTTGAAGATGGACTTGACTTTAAATGAGATGGAGAAACTCACATAGGAGGAACCCATTTTGGGGAGGGAGAGGGGAGACATCAGGAGCTTAGTGTAGGACATGTTGGATATGAGATGCCTGTCGGACAAGACAGCCCGATAGAAATGTTGAGGCCATCTGGAGTTCGGGACAGAGGTCCTGGCTGCAGATAGAAGCCTGAGTATAATTGGCTAAAAAACAGATTGACACCATTAATAGAGGTAAAGTGTCTAAGGCCTGCAATGCTAGAACCTCTGGTGGTTGGTGCTGCCCACATCCTGTGTGGAAGTCTGTGTCCAGTGCTGGGCGCCCTTTTATAAAAGGGGTGCTACTAGCCTGGACCGTGTCCACAGAAGGGTGTTAGGATGGTGGAGGTACAGGGGCGCCTGGGTGGCTCAGTCGGTTAAGCGACTGCCTTTGGCTCAGGTCATGATCCTGGAGTCCCGGGATTGAGTCCCGCATCGGGCTCCCTGCTCAGCGGTGAGTCTGCTTCTCCCTCGGACCCTCCCCCCTCTCATGCTCTATTTCATTCTCTCTCTCAAATAAATAAATAAATAAATCTTTAAAAAAAAAAAAAAAGGATGGTGGAGGTACAGAAATCACAGAGCATGAGGAAGCCTGACTAGGAGAGGAGACCTGGGACCATGTGGGTGCTATGCCCATCTCCTGACAGCCACCCTGTGGGAAAGGAAGTGGCAGGCCCTGGGGGTGGGGTGAAAGTGACAGGTGGTGGCTCTGAGGAGGCTAGTTATGGCTGGGGGTGAAGAGGAACTTTCCAGCCAATTTCTGGAGAAACCATCACCACTGCCAGGAAATGACTAGCCTAGTGGAGGTTTTCAAACTGCCTTTGACTTGAAGTGCAGGAAGAATTACATTTTACTGCAATCCTGTGCACCTTTAGGAAAAGTTGAAACACGTTTCCCAACACTTTCTGATCTCCCGTGATCATTGCACTTTGATATTTGCTATTCTGCCTTTTTCCTTAAGATTTTATTTATTTGAGAGAGCGCACGTGAGCACAAGCAGGGGGAGCAGCAGGGGGAGAGGGAGAAGCAGGCTCCGCAGGGAGCCCCACCTGCTGCTGGATCACAGGACCTCGGGAACTCGACCTGAGCGGACGGCAGACGCTTACAGGACTGAGCCACCCAGGCTATTCTCCTTTTTTAATGCTGATAGGAACCCACTAGGGGGTCCAGTCTGCAGTTTGACCTCCCCCCTCCAGTCTCAGCAGAACTAAGCCCCATCCCTGAGGATGTTAGGAGCCAGGATTGTGGTGGGTGCCTGTGGGATTCCACTCCAGCCTGAGGGAGTACTTTCACCTGCCAGGCAACGTGCAACCTGTGGAGGTCAGTCGTCCTTGACAGTACAATACATGTAGTTATCCCACTTAAGCTAATCTTGCTCCCCCCGGCCCCCCCCCAAGGTTTGGCTTCGTATGGACATCTAGACGGGGATGACCCCGCAGGGTACCTCGATCAAGCCCTGAGCCCGTAGTGAACGCCCAGCCAAGACCTAAGGTGGGTTGAGCCGTGCAGAAGTGAGACTCGGAAGCAACTAGCCTCGTCACTAGCACGGGCTCGGCCGATTCATTTGGTCACGGGCAAGTGGGTGCCAGGAGCACCAGCGTGGGGGGGGGGGGGAAGGGGGGGGGGACCAGACCCGACCCTCGGGAGGCGCCCAGGGAGAGAGACCCACACGTTTTCCCAACGGCAAGCGCTCAGCGGGTCGCAGAGGAGCCGGAAGGGGTCGGGGAGGTGGTGGGACGGCCTGCGAGGCGGGGGAGAAGAACCACGGGTCTGCTCTCCGCGCCCTCGTGCTCCTGCGGCCTCGGCGGCGACTGGTTGGCGTCCTCCAGACGCGCACCGAGCTCGGGCAGCACGCGGCCGCCCCTCGGGCCGGCGGGGCCCCCTGGGCGAGGAGGGGGCGGGGCGGGAGCGGCGCGGGAGAGGCGGGGCTAGCCGCCCGACTTCCTCCTTATGCCCCGCCCACCGCGGGCCACGTGACGGCAGCTCCCCCCACCCCCCCCCCCCCCCCCCAGGTCTAGCGGGCGGGGCTGCAGCCCGCGAGTCAAGTTGAGCCACCTGAGCCGGAGCCCGGAGGACGCCGTCGCTCCCCGCTGTCCGGAGCTCCGCGATGGGCCGGGGGAGCCGACCGTGCGCCCCGCGGGGAGCGCTGCCGCCCCGGCCGCCGCCGCTACTCCTGCTGTTCCTGCTGCTGCTCCCGCCGCCGACTCCGGCGCTCGCCCCTCGGATCAGCCTGCCGCTGGGTGAGCGCTGGGGCGACCCCGCGGGGGCGCGGGCTGGGGTCGGGGGGAGGGGAGGCGGCCTGGAGGTGCCTGTGCGGAGGCTGCCGTGACAAAGGAGGCAGGGAGGAGGGGGCCTGTCAGAGGCTTGGGGTCCATTAGGACCCCTCCTCCTTTCAGAGCGCTGCGGGGAGGGAGAGAGAGGAGAGGGCAACTGTGGGGCCGCGGGCCCCTTTCTTCCCTTCCTTTAGAGGGCGGGGTGGGGGGGGTGTCTCGCGCCCGCTCTGTCGTCCAAGCTCGCCCCTCGGTAGGGCGTCCTTTTCGGCGGTGGCAGCTCCCCGCCCCCACCCCCGGTGCAGGCTACCCGCTGGTCCGCCTGCCCATCTGCTTGTCTTTGATGCTGACCAGAGCCAGCCGCGGTGCCGCCCCCGAGGGCGTCTCGGGGTGGAGGGGGCCGTGCTTGCCGTCCCATAAACACTGGGGTTCTGGTATTCCAGCAAGTCGCAGCAGGACTCCGGAGCCGCAGCGGGACAGGAGTCCCATCTTCCCTCCCAGCCCTTCACCCTGGCCTGTCGGCGCTGCGCCGGCCCCAACATGGTGGGATCCCTCCGGGGCCCGAGAGCGATCCTACCAGGGATGGGGGCTGCTCTGTGACTCCTAGGCCCTGAGAGAGAATCCTCCTGGGAGTACCATCCTCATTGGTGAGGTCCCTCACCTGGTGCTCATGCCTGCTTCTGTGGCCCCTGGCTCTCCCCTGTCCCTACCCCTTTACATCTTGTTGCTTCTCCAGCTTCTCTTTGAAATCAGAGGGACCTGGGTTCCAAGCCCATTTCTACTACTGGGCAAGTAATTCCCTTCTCCCTGTGCCCTGGTTTGCTCATCTGCAAAATGGGCACAGTCGTAGGTACCTTGCAAGGCTATCTTGAAGATTTCATGAAATCTGCACTAGCTGCGTTCTGTGGGCACAAGCTTTATAGGGGCCCAGTAGATGTTGTTTCTCCAAGCCCTTTAACTTGTCACACTGGGAGAATTAGAATAAAAGATGTATGAATTAAAGCTTACATATTGAAGGTAGGCCAGACTTCCTTCTCTCTACTGCATCCCCACCCCTGAAAACATTCTGTGTACAGAAGGGAAGAGTAGCAGAATCAGCACTTAGATTAACTCAGGGTGCTTGTGGCCCTGAATAATCCTGTCTGAAACATTGCAAGACCGTACTGAGAACATAGCCTGGGTTCAAATCCTGCCTCCACCACTTAGTAACCATGTGACCTTGAACAAGCTACTTAACTCTTCCTGTGCCTTGATTTCCTCATCTTTAAAATGGGACAATAATAGCACATACCTCAAGGTTGTGAGGATTAAATCAGTTTATGTTTGAAAAGTCCTTAGGACAGGGCTTGGTACATGGAAACCGCTCCGTAAGTGTTAGCTGGCATTATCGTTACGTGTTAAGCACAGGCTTCATTCTTGCACATCCTGCACAGAGCCAGGGTGACTGCCTGGGGTGGGGGTGGTGCTGTTCGTTTGACCACAGTCCCTTGGGTGCTCCATCTCATTAAGTGAGGATAAACAAGTGTATCCGAACCCGGGCCTACTGCCTTGCCACTTTCTTGGTTGTGGCCACAACTCCCTTTGTCCTTAGACCCTCTTAGCTCTGGCAGGAGGGCAGTAAAGTGGGAACAAATGTTCTGAAGGACTCCATTTATGGCCCTGGGCTAGTTCACAGAGCCATCGCAAGCGCAGCTGGTCTTGTGTCCAGCCCTGGAACTGGACGGGGACCACCCAGAGGGTAACTGAAAGGCAGAATTGGGGAGCCATGAGGGGGAACTGAGAGGGCGTGCGTCCTGAGAGTGGCTAGAACACTTGGTGGTTATTACCCACATAGCTCTCAGACCTGGCCCACTTCCACAAATCTGTGACTGTTGCCAGGCTGTGTCACACACCAGCGTCCCCCCCACAGGTCAGTTGGTGCTCTGGTCTGGATGTCTGTGCACTCCCCTCTCCCGGATCCTTAGGTGAAAATCCAAACTCCCAGAGGACTGAGACACAGGTTCTCCTGTTAGGACTGGCACAGATGCATTGCACAAAGGTGTCCCTTGAGAGGTTCAAAGGGCCTAGAAATGGCAGTCGATACTCTGCTTTCCAAGCTGTGGCTCCTAGAAAAAGACAAAGCTTCCGCTGTGTTCCTGAGACTGGGTCTGCCCAGAGGGAGCCTCTTTTTCTAGTCCCCCCAAAGCCCTGGAATAGTTAGCAGCACCTAATACCTGAACTTGTGAGCACACATCCATACTTTACTGATATGGACCACACCCCAGAGGGCCTGCCTCCCTAGACTTTCTCCTGGCCCTTGATACTGGAAGCCCCAGAGGGGAATGCCCTGGTGACTAAACAGGCTCACCTTTGGAGCGTGGCTGCAGGCAGTTTCCTGCCTCATCCTTGGGGGCTTGTTAGATGTTCTTGGCAGCGTGCCTATCCTGGGTAGGCCTGAGGTGACCATGGGGACTCGGCACAAGGGCCCATGGCCCCTCCCTCACAGAAGAGGGAGAGAGGCATGGAGGGAGAGCCTGCACCTCCCTTTCAGGCTACCTGTCCTCCCCTACTGCATTCCCACCCAAGCTCCCCAAGGGCCCAGATGCCTAGGGACAGTGAGCTGTGTCTTTGGTTTGAAACAAAGTCCCTAGAAGTGGAGCGTCCAGGTCATGTGTGGGGTCCTTCCTAGGGAACCCTCACTGCTGTTAATCCGCAGCAGATTCCTGGGACCGTGAAGGAGGGGATTCCCCACTTGTGGTCTCGTCCAGTGGCCAAGGGGGGGGGGGAGCTGGGGACTCCAGGGCCAGCTGGGCAAGGAGAGGCCTTAAAGGGAAGTTACTTGTCTCTGTGGAAGGAATGCTTTAAAGAAGTGTGTGCAGTTTTGGTTCTGTTGCGCTGGAAAGTGTAGTTTGAAGTTCCAGGACCAAAGACTCAGAAGAGGAGAGCTGCCGAGTGGAAATAATGGCGCCGGGTGTGTGAGCTGCAAGGCCATGTGCCTCCCAGCCGGGCTGTGTAGAAAGAAACAAAGCAAACCTCCTTTGGCTCATGAAAGTCTTATTGAGTTCCCTTATTTGGGCAATTAAGAGGAGTTATTAATTTCCCCCTGCCCCAGAAGTGCCTGTCTGGAAAGGTCTGGACACAGTGTTTCCAAACCAGATTGGAAATAAATCCATAGGCCTTGCAAACTTCAGTCAACAAAACCCCATTGAGCCGGGGAACTGGGCATTGGCACAAATCAGCTGCCTGTCCTCTGACCCTGGAGTGGACACCCAGGGTCATGGCTACCCCGAGAAGCCCCCAGTGCAGGCCGCTTTCAAAGTCTTGCTGGCTGGTGACAGGCCTTCCTCCTGAACGTGGCCTCAGCTCCACATGAGCGTTTGTCTTCGGCTCTGTCCCATGGCCTGGCATCTTCGTGGCCCCTTCAGAGCCAAATGGAAAGAGCTGTAACTATGGGCGCTAATAGCTAGGCTTTGAAGACTCACTTGCCTCCTAACTGCACCACCTGGGGCAAGCTGGGAATAATGGCAGGACCCATCTCACAGGGCTCTGAGCGGATTACAGGAAATAATGTATGGAAAGTGCTTGGCCCAGTGCCTGGCACGTGCTCCGTCCCCAGTAAAAGGTAGCGGCCTCTGTTCTCTGGTGGAAATTCCCTGCCTGCCTCGTTTGGTGAGGTTATTTGCATCCATTTGGGTGACACTGAGCGCTGGCTGTAGGCAGCCCCTCTGCTAGCTGCCAAGACCAGCCAGGTCAGGGAATGGAATAGTGCAGGTCCCACCCCCTGCTCTGGGGTGGAAGACAAAGCAAGTCACCCAAGGGGTCCTGCTGAATTTAGTGCACTTTTTAAGTGCTCCTGGTTCAGCTCTTTGATGTTCTTCTTTGCCCCTAAGAACTTCCTCTGCCTGAGGGTGGACCCCACATCTCCCTCTGCCCTGTGTATAACCCACATTCAGCTGGGTGTTGAAATGCCTGTAAGCCAGCCCAGCAAAACTCTAAGCTTGCACAAGTTTGGGGGGCACATCTGGATACACCTGCACGTTCTTCCTCCACACAAGGGAGACAGAAGATGGCACAGAGCCTGGAGAAAAGGCTGGACTCGGCTTATGTAGTCACTCTTTCCTTTGTCCCCTTCTAGAGGCTGTGGCCTGACCCCCACCCTGCCATGGGTGCTCAGGATGGGTGGAGAGGCCTCTGATGGGGCCCTCCCCAGGGATCCCCGCCCCTCCTCCTTGCATTCTGTCCTCCCGGCCAGGCTCCCCTGTGTCCAGTGTGGAGAGTGGCTCACATGGAGTTTGCTGTCTTGGGACAGATGCCCGAGGTCCCGTAAAGGCTCCACCCCATCTCCCGCCATCCTCAAGGCCATAGGTGAGCCTTCTCCATGTGCCTGGCCCTATGCAGTCTCCCTGGTCCTTTTTTAACCACCACTCCTCTGTGAGCCTCTCCGGTTCGGGGCAGGACCACCTGCAGCCCTGAGGTGGCACAGCCGGTGTCCTCACGTTTGTGTTGCAGTATTTCGTGTCTGGAAGAAGGTAGAAAGTAAGGTAGTGGGTATAGGGCGCCTGGGTGGCTCAGTTGGTTAAGCAACTGCCTTCGGCTCAGGTCATGATCCTGGAGTCCCAGGATCGAGTCCCGCTTCGGGCTCCCTGCTCGGCAGGGAGTCTGCTTCTCCCTCTGACCCTCTTCCCTCTCATGCTATCTCTCATTCTCTCTCTCTCAAAATAAAAATAAATAAAATCTTTAAAAAAAAAAAAAAGGTAGTGGGTATAGAGCTACTGCGGGCGCCAGGCTTGGTTGTCTTGTTTCCCCCTACACGGTGGGGAAAGTTATCCCCATTTTACAGATAAGACAGCTGAGGTTCAGAGAGGTGACGTATTTTGTCCAAGGCATATGGCTCTGCCTCCCTGAGATCTGACATGTTCTCTGTGGGATCTCTCTGCTCTGCACTGGTGGGTCCTCTGAAAAGCCCATCTTGACGGTTAGTAGGGTTCAGA